CAGATTGGGACTGATCTGCGAGTACAATATAGCCGCGGTTGAAGCAACATTAAAAGCTCCAGCAGGGGAGACGGCCAGTGGACCTATATTCATTCCCCTAAACCTGGGGTGTCAAACTACATTTAATTGTGGGCCGCATCAACATTATGGTTGCCCTCAAAGGTATCTGTAAGACTATATAAATTTATATAATCTTTATCATAATTGCCTCTGCATTCAATTTATCACGGGTTTTTGTAATAACTTAATACCCAGATCTGGAAGTAGAAGTCTAGGAAATGGCCTGGTGGGCCGGATTCGGCCCCTGGTCCTTGAATTTGACACATGTGCCCTAAACTACTCCCTGTGTATATTTGCACCATCCATATAGCCAGCACCAATGCATAATATTCAACCAGGAGGAAGGTGATTTATACAACAGAGTTTTAAACTTCAATATGTTTAAGGATTGACTTTTTAGATCAGAGAAGACAGAGACTTGTGTCTACGGACTATCTGCTACTCTCAGTAACCCTTAAAATCCTCCATTACCTCCACAGAGCCATTGATAGATCCAGCAACAGTGATTGTTCAAAATTAAGCAAGTGTGTGGGACCCGTCTGAATGAGTGAGAGTGTGAATGGTTTCGGACCACGTTGCCAAAAGGCTTTTAACAGGAATATGGGAAGATGCAATATGATGCTTTACTGTGTTTATGATTAAAACTCTTTTCATATCCAATTATTAAGCTGTCTTGTCCTGGTCCTTAAGTAACCTCTTCAGTTGATACCCACTATGGGTATTAACTAAATGGTGTTTTTGCAGTCTTTTATGGTTACGGACTGTGCGGTCAGGCACTTTTCGATAAGGGGTTAACAAATAGTGTCTCGGTCTCTGGAAGATCTATCATTTGTGTGTATCAAAATAGATTCCCACCTGGTTCAGGAATCTGTCGCCCCCATAGCATTGGGGTAAGGGTGCTTGACTCAACATGCTCCACTCAGTAGTAGGCTCAGGAGCAGCAGAAGGACCAACAGGGGTAGTGGCAGGCCCCGGAGGCGTGGCAGTAGCTGGGTCCAAATGAGCCGTGCAAGAGAGCAGGATCTGCAGGGCTTGAGTGAACGGCTCCTTCCTTTGATCATGTGAATCAAGCCTGGTAAAAATAGTCTGCAATGGAGACGGTCTAGGTCTTACACTAGCACCGTCTGGATTCATGGCCCTTGCGTAATGTCAGAATACAATGAAAACCAGACCAGTGTGAGGTCCAGAATTACTCGGGTACCGAAAATTGCTGTCCCATTCCAAGCCTTCATGTGTCGAAAGCCACTAAGTCAGTTCGCCACTGACGTCATTTGCCATAGGGACTAGTTGATCGTAAGGCGGATTGATCTGAAGATACTGCGTCTTTAAGCACTGCATGTAATAGATCCAGGATACGTACCTCTCTGGCATCTCAGACCCGGAGGGTGACTCCGCCCCCTGTCCGCTGACATCATGCCGCTCCTCCCCCCTCCTTGGCTTAAGCCACGAAAATTCACTTGTCCAGTGTTCCTGCAATGGATGTGGTGGCTGGGCAAGTTCTGAGCAGCCCTGCTCTCCTTCCTGCCACTGAATAGGCTCATTAGCCTCCTACCTCAACCCTCCAAATACTTCTGCTTACTTCAGCCTGCTGTGACTCCTGGTGCACCAAGACTGCAAGCCAGACGCTGCACTTCAGCTTCCACAGCCAGCAACAGTCTGGAGGATTCACCATAGCAGCCTGAGTGCAACCAACAGCAAGTATTCAATGCCATAGCTGATGATATGCACACAACCATAATTACTTTAAACTTGTGCTGTTAATCCAGCAATACTATTGCCCTCTACTGCTACAAGCTATTTCAAGCTGTTGCTAAATCTTGTGATGTGAAGTTAACATTACACCTGACTACTACTGCTCATTGACTTCAAACATTCACTTTGTGATGTGAGGATAACATTACAACTGTTTCTTTACATATTGCTTTAATTCTGTTTATGTGATGCAAAGATTACTACTGCGATAACCTTACTTATAGAGACTGTCATTTACCGTGAAGTAAAAGTTGTGTTTAAAAGACTTCCGCAGCTGAGTTCCATCATTTATCATAAGAGGTATTACACTGGATGGCTCAGTAATAAAGAGGCCCTGGAAAAATGGCCTGAGTGGAGGAAGAAAGATGACGCATGATCCTGGCCAAGGAACACAGGGAGATATGATCCAGACAAAGGGCCTTCCAGAGTTCCCTCTTTATGCTGACAACTTTGGCTGCGGGAAGCCAGAGCAAGGAGGTGACTGAATCTATCTCGAAACTGAGAAACTGTACTTGTTGGGATGGTGTACCGGAGGATTTTTGAAGGTGGTTGATGAAACCCAAATCCTGCAACCAACGGACAACCCAAAAGGTTTGAATGCGCTGGCATTGAAAAGAAGAATATCATCCAGATGATAGATCTTATACCCTGGGAGGGGAAAAACACCATCACTGGTTTCATCAAATTAGTGAAGGACCAGGGGTCAGAGCTCAGCCTGAAGCAAAAGCAGATGAACTGCCAGGGACAGGACTGCAAATGAAAATGGAGAAAACGCCTGGAATCCGGGTATATAGGGATGGTGACATAGTCTTTCAGATCCAGGCGAGTGAACCAATCCTGGTCCAGAAGCAGATCCCTGAGAAGATGGATTCCTTTCATTTTGAAGTGATGATAAACCATGTGGTCGCTCAAGGACCTGAGATTGATAACTGGGCAGAATTCCCAGGTTTTCTTGCACACCAGAAAGAAGTTGCTGACAAACCCCAGGGAGGCTGATTCGCCCCTTTGGCGCTTAGCTTGCGCAGTTGTATATGAATGAAACACTGAGCCACTCAACTGCAGAAAAGAGGGTTCAGAGATTGGACCAGGAGGGAAGGAGACACAAACTTGATTACGAAACCCTCCACTGTTTGGAGGAAGAGATCCTGGGATGACTTGGGAGCCATAAAATGAGCTCCAGCTGGTGGCACGGCCCCTTTGCCGACCAGCCCTGTGACAACCCCCTGGGATGCTGAAAAACTCTCTTGAGGAAAGTTTCCACCTTATTGAGAGACGTAAAGGAGCCAGCATGCTTTCTGAGTTCAGTGATGAAGGGCTCTCTGAAGAGCTTGCCATCTGCTTTTTCACTCAGCTCTTTCTCCGCCATATCAGAGAGGCGGGCATCGATGCGCAAAAGGCGATCAGTGAAGATAGCAGTGTTTGCATTGCCTATCAGACAGATAGCATGCTGGATCCAACCCATGTTTAATTAAGGATCCAGAGTGGATGTCCTGTGCCAAAGCCTTATCCGCAAGGACATAGATCTGCGTAATGGGTCCAGAAATATCAAGCAGTATGTCCTGCACAGCCTTCAAGTCCTTCTCTAAACCCTTCCTAGGGTCACAACCCTTCTTATTCATGTGGGTGACCATGAACTGGTCAAAGTCAGGCGTAGATGAAACCTTGCCCGGGATAGAGGGTTGAGGACATTCTGTCCGAAGGCGGTTAAGGACAACCCTGTCTAAGGATTTGCAAAGCCAGACCTGCAGGTATCTGGCAATGTGGTCTGGGGGAGTCCACTCAGATGATCTATGATGAATAAGTCTGGGATCAAAATGTGCTTCCCCGGTACGGTCACGTGCTAAATCAGCATCTGCCGGGTCCGTGCATAACTGAGTGACAGAGGCCTTGGGGCTCACCCGCGTCTCTGCCCAAAAGTAGTTGGGTTTCCTCATCCTCCTGAGAGGAGTTATAATGGGCCTCCCCCGAAGTAGATGCATGTGAGATCCCTCCTGCCAAAGCAGGGACTGAGATGCACTTAGCTCTTTTGGCAAGGCCTTTGTCTTTTGTGTGCTGATCTACTGGACACTTTCCAGGGGCATTGCCTCACTTTACAGTGGCCTGGGAAGGAAGAAGCCAGTAACGAAAGGAAACGTGTGCAGGGGTAAAGACAAGGAATTGCAAGAGGGATGAGTCAGTGACCTGCCATGAGGAGCAGCAAAGAAAGAGGACAATACTGTTTGTGGCGGACTTTATAACTTGATGTGTGCTGCTATTAATCTGTTCTTCCGTTATGTTTTTTCTTTGCTGCTATGGGGAGTCGGTAAACAGAGTTCAGCAAAATATGAAGCCTCCTGTCTTGCCAGAAAATTGCTTTTAATTACATCACTTTTCAAGAGGAATTTGTCAATAAGCTGTAAAAGGTACCAACAAATGTCCATGTCTGTAAGAGAAATAAAAAGCCAGTATCCGATAGAGCACTTCATAGTACATAGGGTTTATAGTACAGAAATTGAGGAAGGTGACTAAGGAAAACTCTATTGTTCCACTGGAGACAAGAAAAAGACTAAGAATCTCACTACCTGTTATGGGCCACACACCCACTAATCATTTTCTCCTATATTTATTTAGTAAGTCATAAGTATACAATGTCTAGATTTGTAAGGGATTGACGTTTCTGTAGGCTGGTTATAACCAGGAAGTACAGGAACAGGAAGGGCATTATATCTGATTTCCTGTTAAATTGCTGCTCCAATCAAGATTTTCCGAAGGGTTTTGAAGTTATTTAATGTGTTCTCTAGATAAAACAAGCTATTTAAATATTTTTACTTTAATGTGGACCTATACTGAAATGTTAATTTGTCTATTGGCATGGCTAAAAAATACAAAGGAATAGAAAGGCTGGTATACTGACATAATGCTTCTACTGTGAACTCTGATATTCCTCATTAGTAAAGATCACATGACAAAATACCTAGCCTTTTGGTCCCTTGATTGGCAAGCCCGTTAGTTACTTTTATTTTATCCATCCCGACAAGACTATTATCATAGCTGTAAATTAATATTTAAGTGTGATCCACTTTAATAAAGTGGTGTTGTGTGACAGTCACACACTGAATTCTAAGTATATAACCTCTGTTTGTGATCTTATTCTTCCAAGTCCTGAACATCCTGTTTCTGAGAATTGTGGTTTACTTGTGTTTTCACAGACCCTTTCTTGACATGGTTTACAGTACACTGGAATGTACTGAGGACGATTATTATACTCTGTTTGTCTTATGTCTTCTTTATGCTATGTCACATAATAATGGTAAGTAATCGTAAAAACAACTGTTTTATGTGGGACAGGTTTATTCATAGCATGTTAGGTGCCTAGGGATGACAATATTCTTTGTGGGCAGTGAACCTGAAAGCACTCATCTCTTTCAGCCTCAGAGCTTCCAAAACTGACTGGCTGCACTATAATATCAGCTAGGGTGCTTTTCATCCCCCTTGTGATAGTCATTATGTTAAATAAAAAATAATGTAAAATTGATCTCCAAAAATAAGCCGCACGAAAACCAACCTAAGTCTAAAGTTCTTATTGAAGTAAATCCAAAAACGAAATCCAAAATGAAAATCCAAAATATGATATGTAACATGTACACCACCATGATTCTCTCCCACACCAACACCCCTCACGCGTTTCGCCACCTGGGCTTAATCATAGAGGAGAAGCCCTTTCCTTTACATGCACAATATATGTGTAAAGTACTGCCCTGTTCCACTAGTGCAATAATGATGATATTACTATTATATTCCTTTTAAAGTAAGGTTTGCAAAGTAGTTTGTGATTGGAGCCAGGCTGACTTATTAACTGGGGTGGGGTCAGGGATATATGTAGCTTCAGCTATTAGAGCCTCTCCACTAGCGTGTTCCACTTTTTAAAGAAAACGAATATAGGCCTTTAGTGTATTCCACACTACACAGTGAGAGGCAGTATCCATGTTTATGGTAAGAAAGGAAGAAAGAAAGTGTGTTGCGTACAGACTTGGGAGGGAAGCAGTGAGAGCTAAAAGGGGTTCAGATGCCAAGGAAAGGAGAAAGGAAATTAGACATTTGGATTGACAGATAAATTGAGCTTCAAAGGGATGGGAGATCCTCCATAAGTCATGAAGGCCCAGTTCAGTACAAAATCATGTAAATGGTGTCTTAGGATTAGCTGGAGCAAGGGGAGCAGTGCATGAACTTATTAAAATTCCCCACCACCAACACTAGGATTAGAAGCCAAACAATTAGGAAC